TGGGTGAGTGGTGGTGGTTGCTGGGGCCGGCGTCATCCTGCCTCACTTGTTGAATAGGTGATTTTTCGGTGTTTTTTTTGCTGGCTTGGTGCTGTTTCCTCTTAGGTTGCGCCTCATAATACTACAGGAAATTGTTGTAGTTAAGAAGATGATTGTAGTTATCAAGACTTAGGGTTAACGTTCGCTTCGGATGGCAGCGGGGTGTTGCTTTCGGTTTGTGGGCAGTCTTCCTTTAATCTCTATTATTTTCGATTTGTAGGTTTCACTGTTGGTAATCTTTGGTCATTCTGGGTGCTTGTTGGGTAGTGCAGTTTTGCTTGTAACTAGGTCTTCATAGGAGCATTGGTAGCTCTGAGAGTTGGAGATAAGTACGGAGCTTGGAAGTCGCTGCTGCGACCAGGAAAAGTGTAAGGTAGGGTTATTGTATCTCACTCTTGTGTTAACATCTGAGCTTCACCAGTGCTCAATGTCGGTCCATATACATCCTTCATAACCTGGAATCAATTTGTTTATTATATAAATTTAAATAAGTTTATATATTGGTGTGTGGAGGTCAATGTTTAATAAGTCTTATTATTACCCGGGAAGAACAAGATGGAAATAAATCACTTCGTCTGACATTTTTATTTTGTGTGGATTATGGTAAGTAATTTACATGAATATTTCTATGTTAATTCTAATCAACTTTATTTGTGTAACAATAATTGTGTATCTGTATCTAAATAAACTTAGTTGGTGAAAAAGATCATTGATAAAACAATATATTTCACCTCTTGTAAGGTCTTTAATTGAATATATTTAATTGTTTGGGATAATATATTTCACTGGTGTCTTATTATCTAGCTGCTGTATAGCCCTTGTGGTTTAGCGCTTCTCTTTGATTATAATAATAATTATTATATAAGTAGAAACAAAAACTTATACAGATGGATTTTTTTGTATATATTAATAATGTAAGTGTCAGTACTTTATTATGTTGTTCTTATTATGCAAATTTTCTGGTATTAAGTTACCTGTGCAATAGAAATATATTTAGTATCTAGGGAAATACTTTTTTTTTTAATGTAACCTAATGTTACTTTACCTAAGTTATATTTTATAGCTGGTCGCTTAGGTTAGGCTAAGGTTAATGTTAAGGTAAGGTTAATGTTAAGGTAAGGTTAATGTTAAGGTAAGGTTAATGTTAAGGTAAGGTTAATGTTAAGGTAAGGTTAATGTTAAGGTAAGGTTAATATTAAGGTAAGGTTAATGTTAAGGTAAGGTTAACGTTAAGGTAAGGTTAACGTTAAGGTAAGGTTAATGTTAAGGTAAGGTTAACGTTAAGGTAAGGTTAACGTTAAGGTAAGGTTAACGTTACGGTAAGGTTAACGTTAAGGCAAGGTTAACGTTAAGGTAAGGTTAACGTTAAGGCAAGGTTAACGTTAAGGCAAGGTTAACGTTAAGGCAAGGTTAACGTTAAGGTAAGGCTAATGTTAAGGTAAGTTTAACGTTAAGGCAAGGTTAACGTTACGTTAAGGTTAGGTTAATGTTAAGGTAAGGTTAACGTTAAGGTAAGGTTAATGTTAACCCTTTCAGGGTCCAAGGCCCAAATCTGGAGTCACGCACCAGTGTCCAAGAATTTTAAAAAAAAAAAATTTGTTATTTTTTCTTATGAAATCGTAGAGAATCTTTTTGTGAACGTAATAAAACAAAAAGTACGAAATTTGGTGGAAAATTGACGAAATTATGCTCTCGCGAATTTTGATGTGTCAGCGATATTTACGAATCGGCGATTTTGCCGACTTTGACTCCCATTTTAGGCCAATTACATTATTCCAGTCAACCAAATTCTTAGCTATTTCACTAGTATTACTTCTATTCTATCGATTGAGGCACAAGAAATCGCCAAGTCAACTGTTTCAACACAAAATAAAGTGATCGGAAATTTTTAATTTGGCCAATTTAACACAAAGTTCAAAAAATTCCCAAATTTTAAAAAAAGGGTCCAGAATAAAAGTGTAGGCATTCCTGGCACTAAACTAACATTTCCTCTGTTCATTAGTTATGTTTTGAAGCTTTACAAATAAATCCATTTTGATTTTTTATTACACATCTATTCGTGGATTTGTTATTCACACCAAAAAATAAAGATTTTACTGTTATGCAATCCTAATATTGTTAAATATCATCACCTTATTTGTGATATGTTATTAGACCCACCAGCTGACGTGTATTAGACGGTGAGGTCGTTTGTTTTACTCTTGAATATCGGCAAAATATTTACTTTTTTTCGCTACTTTGAGCTCAGTTTCAAGCCAGTTTCAGTGGCTAAAACCAATCAAAATCATTCTCTTTTTCCCCTGTACATAAGTTTCCATTCTATCAACGAGACAAGAAATCGCAAATACAACTATAAAATAACATACGAAAAAACACTGCAAAGTTGCTTGTTTTAATCGAAAATAATGATTTCATTTTTTTTCTCTCATTATTAACAGTGTGCTGAGGATCGTAGTTTTATGGGTTGCACACATTACACATAGATGTATTCTTCATATTGGCCCATAATGTACACTCACAGTTTATCAGGTGAGCTGAGCTCATGGCGTGTTCTACGGTTGTTGGACACTCACCATAAGCCGTAGAATCTACGGACGGACCCTGAAAGGGTTAAGGTACAGTTAAGTTAGGTTAAACGTTAAGGTTTGGTTTAAGTTTAGGTGTTAGGTTAAGGTTGGGTTACGTTAAGTATGTTAGGTTAGACGTTTAACAGTTAAGCATGTTAGGTTAACGTAAGTGTTTGGTTAACGTTAAGGTTAGGTTAACGTTAAGGTTAGGGTAAGGTTGAAATTAGGTTAGCACAGCATGTTAGGTTAAGTTAGCACAGCATGTTAAGTTAGCACAGCATGTTAGGTTAGCACAGCATGTTAGGTTAGCACAGCATGTTAGGCTAGCACAGCATGTTAAGTTAGCACAGCATGTTAAGTTAGCACAGCATGTTAGGTTAGCACAGCATGTTAGGTTAGCACAACATGTTAAGTTAGCACAGCATGTTAGGTTAGCACAGCATGTTAAGTTAGCACAGCATGTTAGGTTAGCACAGCATGCTAGGTTAGCACAGCATGTTAAGTTAGCACAGCATGTTAAGTTAGCACAGCATGTTAAGTTAGCACAGCATGTTAAGTTAGCACAGCTTGTTAGGTTAGCACAGCATGTTAGGTTAGCACAGCATGTTAAGTTAGCACAGCATGTTAATGTTAGTACACAGCATGTTAAGTTAGCACAGCTATGTTAGGTTAGCACAGCATGTTAGGTTAGCACAGCATGTTAGGTTAGCACAGCATGTTAGGTTAGCACAGCATGTTAGGTTAGCACAACATGTTAGGTTAGGTTAGCACAACATGTTAGGTTAGGTTAGCACAGCATGTTAGGTTAGCACAGCATGTTACATTAGGTTAGCACAGCATGTTAGCTTAACATGCTGTGCTAACTTAAGTTAGCACAGCATGTTAAGTTAGCACAGCATGTTAGGTTAGCACAGCATGTTAAGCTAAGTTAGCACAGCATGTTAGGTTAGCACAGCATGTTAGGTTAGCACAGCACGTTAGGTTAAGTTAGCACAGCATGTTAGGTTAGCACAGCATGTTAGGTTAAGTTAGCACAGCATGTTAGGTTAGCACAGCATGTTAGGTTAGCACAGCATGTTAAGTTAGCACAGCATGTTAGGTTAAGTTAGCACAGCATGTTAGGTTAGCACAGCATGTTAGGTTAGCACAGCATGTTAGGTTAAGTTAGCACAGCATGTTAGGTTAGCACAGCATGTTAGGTTAGGTTAGCACAGCATGTTAGGTTAAGTTAGCACAGCATGTTAGTGGTTTTATTTTGTTCTCAACAGTACTTTATTACATATAAACTACATTTTGCACACTGCATAAAGAAATAGTTTGATAGTTTAACTTGGGTTATGTTATTAATGTTAATTATCACTTCTTACCTGTTTGTTTAAAAATACAGTGATACCCCGAGTTTGGAACTTTCTTCGTTCCACAGGGCTGTTTGGGCGCCGTTACTGAACGAATTTGCTCCAATAAAGAATAATGTAAATTAGATTAGTCCATTTCAGTCCCCAAAAATACACTTGCAAAAACACTTACAATAATACACTTACGTAACTGGTCGAGTTGAGAGCAGTTCAACACTCGAGGTACCACTGTATAGCTTTCCATTGTACAACTGCTTAATATCAAAGAATTTATGTCATAAATGATATTCTTATTTTGCAAATAGTAAAGCCTCCATAAAATATAAGATTTAAGATAAGATTTCATTCGGATTTTAACCCCGGAGGGTTAGCCACCCAGGATAACCCAGAGCAGTGTTATCCACCCAGGATAACACAGAGCAAGGTTATCCACCCAGGATAACCCAGAGCAAGGTTATCCACCCAGGATAACCCAGAGCAGGGTTAGCCCAGGATAACCCAGGGCAGGGTTAGCCACCCACAATAACCCAGAGCAGAGTTATCCACCCAGGATAACCCAGAGCAAGGTTATCCACCCAGGATAACCCAGAGCAAGGTTATCCACCCAGGATAACCCAGAGCAGGGTTAGCTACCCAGGATAACCCAGGGCAGGGTTAGCCACCCACAATAACCCAGGGCAGGGTTAGCACCCAGGATAACACAGAGCAGGGTTAGCCACCCTTGTGGTCCTTCCTGTAGCTTTGTAGGCGTCCTGTAACTCGATCGCTAGCGCACTCAGTTCACACACTGAGGTCCAGAGTTCAAATCTCCGGTAGGGGTGGAAAACTTAGGGCTGTGTTTCAGAGACAACTCGATGCTGCATCGTTCACACCTATCAGTATGGAAAGGGTACCTGGGTGTTAGTCGACTGGTGTGGGTCACATCCTGGGACAGAACTGACCTAATTTGCCTGAAATGCTCAGTATAATAAGCAGCTCTCTGTATAGTAGTATGTCATTGATGTCAGCTAGGCCTTATGTACCTTGTATATGTACTTGTAGAAATATAGATATTGTCCTCCCCAGGTGCAACCCTCATCAGTCAACTAACACCTAGGTACCTACTTACTACTAGGTGAACAGGAGGATTGATCCCAGGCCTGCACATGTCAAAGCCTGTCAGCATGAGCCAGTTCATGAAGAGAACCAAAAGGTACCTAATGAATGTAGCTTCAGAAAGGAAGGAGAGCTATTTTCTTGTATAGCTAACATACGTGTACCTATTATTGTGATCTGATCCTATCTTTAATATTAATGTAAATAACTCACTTTACCTTATTCCTAGTATATCTCCTTTTATTGTTTAAATAATAAGGTATTACAAGGACCCTAATGGAAATAAGTCACTTTGGCTATTTTTGGGGGGTTATCCTAGGTAATTTACACATATATTCCTATGTATGATAATTTATGTTTCTGTGTTGATGTGTACCTCTACCTGAATAAATTACTTACTCGGTGTGTGAGCTGAGGATGCTGCCAGTCAAGCCATGAGCATCCCTGCAGTGCTTCCTGGTGTAACTTAGTGTCATCTAATAATGGTAGTGCACTTTTTAACTTTCAGGTAAAAATAGTTTGGCAAGGGATTTGGATACTATATTATTAGCTGTCTGATTTCTACATTATTTATCTTCATTATATGTATGGCTCAAGAAATAAGCATTATTATTAATACTACTACTATCATGTCTGCTTCCAACCACTTACATGTAAGCAAATTGCATTCACACAATATCAATTTGGCATCTTTAAATATTGTGTATCCCTCTGCTATTCTGTTATACCTGGAGTTTACCTGGAGATGGTTTTGGGAGTCACTGCCCCTGTGACTTAGTCTCTGATCAGTCCTCCCAGTGCATGGTGCTAGCATGGAGTCCTCCCAATGCATGGTGCTAGCATGGAGTCCTCCCAGTGCATGGTGCTAGCATGGAGTCCTCCCTGTGCATGGTGCTAGCATGGAGTCTTCCCAGTGCATGGTGCTAGCAGCGGAGTCCTTCCCAGTGCATGGTGCTAGCATGGAGTCCTCCCAGTGCATGGTGCTAGCATGGAGTCCTCCCAGTGCATGGTGCTAGCATGGAGTCCTCCCAGTGCATGGTGCTAGCATGGAGTCCTCCCAGTGCATGGTGCTAGCATGGAGTCTTCCCAGTGCATGGTGCTAGCATGGAGTCCTCCCAGTGCATGGTGCTAGCATGGAGTCCTCCCAGTGCATGGTGCTAGCATGGAGTCCTCCCAGTGCATGGTGCTAGCATGGAGTCCTACCAGAGCATGGTGCTAGCATGGAGTCCTCCCAGTGCATGGTGCTAGCATGGAGTCCTCCCAGTGCATGGTGCTAGCATGAAGTCCTCCCAGTGCATGGTGCTAGCATGGAGTCCAACATAAACATCACAGCTGGGCTGATCATGAACTAACTTTATAAAGTTACCAAGTTCCCTCTTGAAGACAGGGGTCTGTTGGTGATCCCTCCTGTTGAACTAAGGGAGGGTTTTAGGCTGTTATGGATAAAGTTCTTCTCAGAGCTTGACTGGCTGAGGTGCATCGATTGACTCAGTAATAACCGTTGATTGTCCCCAGGGGTGTCACTAGCACACTAAGAGACAACACAGTAAGTGTTAGGGGCCCAAGACTGTTCAACTGCCTCCCAGCATACATAAGGGGGATTTCCAATAGACCCCTGGCTGTTTACAAGCAGGCACTGGACAAGCACCTAAAGTCAGTACCTGACCAGCCAGGCTGTGGCTCATATGTTGGATTGTGTGCAACCAGCAGTAACAGCCTGGTTGATCAGGCCTTGATCCACCATGAGGCCTGGTCACAGACTGGGCCGCGGGGGCATTGACCCCCGGAGCTTTCTCCAGGTAAACTCCAGGTAAGCCCAAATCAAGGTGTTATTTTTGCTAATCTCCCAAAATAATAAAATTTGCTCTAGAAATAGCAATTCTTGCTATGGTATAGCTACCTTGTGGGTATTTAAAAGATTAAAATAATGCACAAGTTCTCAAAAAGATGGGCTTGCAATGTTAGGCAAAATTATTTCATGTGCAAATTGTTATTTTGCTGCTAGAATGCAGCATGGAAGGACAAGTTGATGGTTAGTATAGAGTCGCATGACATGCCTGGCCAGTCATACAGAAGTCAGTTGACATGCTGGGCCAATCACAGTGAACATGAACAAAAACATGATACAGTGGTCCCTTTGAGTTATATCTGGAGTATAACTGGAGAGAGCTCCAGTGTAAATAGACTATCAGATTTAGTTAAATTAGTAATTAGGTTGTTGAAAAACAGTTGTGACAGTAATACTAGATACAGTCTGCTAAACTGGTTACAGTATGTATTAGGCAAGTTTAGGACATGTTTGATACAAAAAAATTTGAACCAAGTGTCAGAAAGGGAACTTTTTTGTACACTTTTCATGGAGCTTGTAAACAAGTTACAACTAACCTAATTTCTGTATGGAGATAAACACGCATACTTATTTTTGCATGATACAATATTTGTACAAAGGTGAATGACACTAGAGGTACATACTGAAAGCCCCTTAATATTAGTGCAGAACATTTCTGGCAAACTTAAGACTAACTTAAGATTAATAAGGCAATGCCAAATGGTTTTACATATACAATCTTTTAGGTAATTGTAAATATAAATTTATGAGTTAAAATGGATATAAGAATATCCTATTAGTATGTATTGACATTAAGTAGATACAATTAATGTTTTAAAGGTTGAAAGGATTAGATGTTAAAAGTAAGGTTATAATATATACATATTTTAGTGGCATTGAGAATATGGATATATAGTTATGTCATGTTTAGCTGGTGTTGGGATGTGTTAGAGAGAAGTGTTTTATAATGGTAGTTTTGAAGATGCTGGCTGAGACAGTGACTCTGATTTCTAGCAGAGAGTTCCAGATTTTGGGCCCTTTCATGTGCACTGAATTTTTACAGAGATTTAGTCAGATACTGGAAGTGTCACAGAGATTTTTGTGCCTAGTATTATGTCTACGGGTCCAGTTGCAGCTATCAAGAAAGTGTTTCAGGTCAGGATTTTTATTAGAATTTATTGTTCTGTAAATGTAGGATGCACTGTAGTAAGAATGAATGTTTTGTTTAGTGAGTAGGTTTAGGTCTTCGAAGAGTGGGGGGAGGGGGGGTTATCTAGCAGTGGACTGTGTGATCATTTGTGCTGCAGCATTTTTGTTGAGCTATTATTGGCTTAAGGTGATTGCTGTTGTGAATCTCCAGACACAAATAGCACAAGTGAGTAGGGATATATCAGTGAATAGTATAATGCAAGTAGTTGCATGTGCTACATAATAAACTATCTTTGAAAAGATGCCAACTGGTTTTGACACTTTTTTATGTGGGTGCTGAATTTCAAGTTACTGTCAAGTTTCAACCCCAGAAATTTTCACTCGTTATGTTTAGCAGTACGAGTATTGCCAATCATAATGTTTAGCTGAATGTTATTCGCTCTGCTTCCAGACATAATATAGAAGGTTTTGTCAGTGTTAAGTGAAATTTTATTGGTAGTCATCCAGGTTGAAATTTTTAAGAGCTTTTCATTAACAGTGTTGTTGAGTGATGCTGGATCTGGGTGGGAGATAACAAAAGTTGTGTCATTAGCAAAGAGGATAGGTCTAAGTTGTTGCGATACATTTGGAAGGTTGTTGATGTATAATAAGAATAGTAGGGAGCCAAGGACTCTTCCCTGTGGAAATGTTTATGTCCAGAGATGTATTGCTGTCTGTTAGTAAGGTAAGACTTTATATATGCAAGTGATACTGTAATGATCAAGTTTGTGAAGTAGGATGCTGTGGTCAAATGTATCAAAAGCTTTCATTAGGTCAATAAAGAGTCCTAGTAGATATTAATTTTTTTAGTGCTGTGTAAAGTAGGTCTAGCATTTTTATAACTGCATCATATGTGCTTTTGTTTCTCTTGAAGCCAAACTGGCAGGGGTTGAGAATGCTTTGCGGTGTTATAAAGGAATATAATCTTGAAAATTTTGGATAGGAAAGGCAAGTTTGATATTGGCCTATAGTTATTTACGTCTGTTAGGTCCCCATTTTTGTGCACGGGAGTCCCCTTCTTGCTATCTTGAGTAATGTCAGGAAAGTGAATTAATAATTGTGGTGACTTTCATGGACTTGGTTGGTGCAAGTATAATATAGTGCAGTACACATGTTTAAACTATAGAAAACCCTTTATGCAGAGTATTTACCTGGGGTTTACCTGGAGAGATTCGGGGGTCAACGCCCCCCCGGCCCGGGCTGAGACCAGGCCCCCTGGGGGTCAAAGCCCGATCAACCAGGCTTTGCTGTGGCGACGCAAACCAACTTTGAGCCACAGCCCCCCCGATCCGGAATGATTTAGGTGCTTGTCCCTGCCAGTTGAAGACTGCCAGGGGGCTGTTTGGGAATCCCCCCTTTGGTGCTGGGAGGCAGTTGAACAGTCTCGGGCCCCTGACACTTATTGTATGGTCTCCTTAACGTCTAGTGACACCAAACCCAAGCTTATTCAATAGGGGATGTGCATCGTCGCCAAGTCTTTTGGCTTTCGAATGAGTGATTTTCGTTGCAAGTTCGTACTTAAGTCCCTCTAGATTTTCCAGGTGTATATACACATGTATCCTCCCTCCTGCGTTCCAGGGAATACAGGTTTAGGAACCTCAAGCGCATCCCAATAATTGAAGTGTTTTTATCTCCGTTAACCGCCGTGAATTGAAGGCAACCTTAAAATTTTAACTTATAATTTTCTGGACAGTTATACAGATAAATTACTGCAATGCTTGTGGTTGCAGCAATCGAAATTTTTATATACCGTAAATTTTTATTTATGATATATTGCATTTTGCCTCTGTGTAATAATTTGGTAAAGAATTTGATTGGTGATACTTGAGGTAGAACATATTTCGTTAATACAGCCTCTCCTCATTTTAAACGACTGAGTTACATTTCCTAAGACCACATCGGTAAAACGAATATCCGTTCTCTAATTGAGGAGCATACTGTATTGAAGTGGGTTTGTTCGACCATCTTGATATTGTTTTAATGTCCACCTTAGCATCCATTTTATTAAACATTTTCTGGTATAATTTTTAAACGTTTATACAGTAGTGTACGATTATTTGTAATAAATCAGAATAAAAGAA